TAAATACACTTAAATTTAAGTTGAAATTAATTATGTTTGATTTAATATAATATTTTAAATAGTTAGTTTATAGTTAATCGATTTTTTTCGATTATTTATTTGAAAGTGCACAATCATAGAAATAATATCATTATTAATATATCGATATTTAGAAGTTTTATAATAATTATGATAATACGAATATTTATAGCATAAAATGGAATCAATTGCAAAACGAGTGGTAATTATTTTAAAACAGTACATTTATTTAAACAATTTTCATATCTTAGAGCAATAGGAAGTAAATTTTAAAACCATAATTTTATAAGATTGAAAAATGTTTTATCCAATTAGTTTATTCTTATAAAGTGTGGTTTACATATGGTAAAATATCATAAAGTATTGTAAAATGTCATACAATTAGACCTATCAAAGGTTATTTCAGTTGAATTACATTTAATTTTTTGTGTTATTTTTAATGCTTTGATTTTCATCTTGATTTGCATGTATAACTGTATTAAAACATTTTTACTATTTATTTAAAACATTTATTTAATAATAAGTTATTGCAGTTAAAAATTACATTTAAATTGCTTTAAGCAATTGAACAATTATAGGGATAAGATTTTAATAATTTACAATTGATATAAGCATAATTTTACATTATAGTATATACATTATGTATATGAATATGTATATTATATTAATTTTTTTATCATAAGTTTCAATGTAAATGTTCATTTAAAATAACTCTCAGTGTAATATAAATATTTTTAATTGTGATTTTGACATGGCTATGATAAATAATAATAATTAATTCACTTTAATTTACTTAAATCAATTTATCTAATTTATAACAAGTACAATAGTTTATTTATTGACGCCAAAAAAAGTTTTAAATGCACTAAACGCTCGACATATGACCAAATAATGTTAGGTCTCACACAACCCATAGAAATCTATTTATATGAAAGAATAAGGGTTCTAAGTATTAGATTGATTGTCATTACCTGTCATTTTGTAAATAGTGATAAAATTGTACAGACAATTTATTAAATTATAAAGTTAATTGAATTATAATCTTTAGCATCAATAACTAACTTTATGAACGTAATTTGTAGTTAAATTAAATTATATTTAAAATAAAATAAATTTAATTAATTATTCCCATATTTTTAATTAATTAAACATATGATTAACTTTTATTCTGCTTCTGCAACAAATCATGCATTGTGGTAGATTTTATATAGTAAAAATAAGTAATTTATAATACATATAATTTATACCATTTTAAATATAAACGTTTGTAAGATGTAATACTGTAATCGTCTGAGACTCAATCTGTTGTACTGATACTTTTGAACCATAAAAAGAAAAGACCATAAAAATTAGTTAACATAGATATTGTTTGACTAATATAATGAGATTTGTATCAAATGAACCCTAATAATATTATTAAACAAAAATTTTAAGTAATTTCTAAAATATTAACTTATTTAAATCAAAACTAACATGATTAAAAAGACAAAGTATTGTCTATTTCGACTACTCAAAATGATTGTCTTGTGAGGTCAAAATATAATAAACACACGGCAACCACTATGTCTGTGATCAATAGATTGTAAACAACACCGCTGTACCCTTGATCAATTACTCAATTGATTTAAACACAATATGAAAAACAATTTACTCACCCCTTACTATAATATGTCACCACGAGTATCCTCTGACCAACCAAAGTTATTTTCTAACTACAGATGAAAGGTTAAACTAATCAATTGAATAACAATCTGGATTTTAAAACACTTTTAACATTTCAACCATACTGTGTGCTGAACTCCGTATAAAATGGCGAGTAAAATAGCGGTCATTGTATTATTAGTGACCATGGGCGTTTTGATAACGCTGATGTCCAATAGCCAATCATGTGTGGAGGGGAAAACGCTAAAAACCACTGCAATGGCCCCCAGAAAGACAGGACCGGTGAGAAAGTACGCCAGCGATGTACTTGTATATATCGATTCTGAGCGTCAAAGGCGTAAACTTGTGTTGGATGCGATGCGCGCGTGTGCCGGTAACAACCCAAACCCAAATAATTGCATTTGCCTGTATGTTACGATAGGTAACAGTAAATCTCCGCGTTGTGAAGACAAAAATCGATTGCAAGAATTCATCGAAAAGTCTTACGCGCACATAAAGCCCGATGATCGCAAATGGGATAAGGTGGCTAAAGAATTTGATGCGAGACAGAACCAGGACAATAAGTAAATGAACAATGAGAGCATTGAGCATTATGTATTTGTTTGTTTTAATTTGATTGTGTTTGAATTTATTTGGTTTATTTTTTTTAATAAATTTAAAAAACAAAACAAAGAGTAATATGTGCTAATGTAATGCGTGTACAGATGTCGTGATTGACAATATGGTAAGTTTAAGATTTAATTCTAGAGACGCTAATGATATTAAACTTGTGCGTTCAGTAGGAATAGACATAATTATGTTATTAAATGATAACAAAGTATATCATTATGATTTGGAAAGTAAGATGATTGTTAAGATTATCAATCTATTTTTAACCACTATTCTGATATGAATAATGTGGGTTATAAGCGTTAACGATGGCACGCCGACTACCCTCTCAGCCGTAATTAAGTTGGAAAAACAAATTGTTAACAAGTGGTCCGTGTAGGGTATCGAACCCGGGACCTCAGAACACATTGATTTGCCCTAGAGATTTTACTTTAGACCAACAAAGCTGATTAAGTTAAAATCAATTTGAGTTAAATAAGAGCTCGTGTCTTCACCTCATGTTTTACGCCAGTCTTCACCGAAGAGTTGATCCAAAGTTAGCTAAACATATATCAGGGGAAACGAAAAGTTTTGCAATAATGTGACATGAAATTAAAACTTAATTTATTCTTAACACAATAAACTTTAATCATCGGTCTAAACTCTATAATGACAGTCAATTATTTGTCTTCTTGTGATAAATTTTTTAATTGTTTCTATATAGGGATAGCTTGATTTTAGAAGAAAAAATAGGAACACCCATTATTTGACAAGGTCCTTATTATTTAATGCCATTCTTCTCACAGACAGTGTAAATGCTCGGAACCGACAGGAATCTGGAGAGTATATGTATGGGTTAGGGATGCAATGGGTATGGACTTCATATCTGTTGTCATTATTTTTCTGTAAAGTTTTATATTTAAAGTTGCCATATTTTTATAGACAAAAATTGCCCTAAAATCCATTTACATGATCTCTACCTCTTCCCAATAGCATTTAAGTGATCCCAACTATTCTATTCACTGCACCTCTACTTAAGTTTTATATTTAAAGTTGCCATATTTTTATAGACAAAAATTGCCCTAAAATCCATTTACATGATCTCTACCTCTTCCCAATAGCATTTAAGTGATCCCAACTATTCTATTCACTGCACCTCTACTGTCAATATATATCTTCACACCAATTGTTTTTGATTTGTGTCTCAAAAAAATTTGATCACTACCGAAGGGTGGCCACCTTAAGTTGGGCACCAGAGCTAAGGTCATGGCGCGGGACATTATTAACTACCCTAATCGTTAATATTCAGTACACCAATTATAATCATATATTGTTTGTATTTTTCGGGCTGCTGCCGTGGCAAATAAACCATGATATAAAAATTTTACACATTATAATTTCTAATGTGTATTATGTTTGAAGCATTGGTGGCCATGAATGGCAATTGATAGAAAATTGATTTCAACTGTAAATTAAAGACAAATTATTGTGTTTTCATTAAACAAATCTCTTTTTGTAGTAAGTATTTAAATTAATACTTAAAAAGTTATTTTAAAAAAGTTTGACAAAAATTCTCGCATAACTTTTCGTTTTCCTAATATTACGACGAATGGAAACAATGAGAAATGACATGACTTGGGATGAAATGGCGGTCTTTTGTAACACTTGTATGAAAACGCGAACCAAACTGACGGACAAACTGTTGAATGTAGTCATCAGTAAAACGGAAACCGATGTCTCCGACGAGACCCCGAGTATAGCCCGAAATGCATCCGACAATCGCTATCCCTATCACACTATTCCTCCCGATTTGTGCCAAAAATTCGTCAATACGTTAACCGAAGGAAACAGTTGTCCACTACTGATGCCATGGGTTTAACTCATTTGGTTAATCTTGTCTATACGGCCCGCGTATACGACAAACAGCTAATGTCCCAAACATTGGACACACTTTATGCCAATACAACCGACTTTCGTATCAAAGATATTGAGCAGTAACAGTACTCAAACCCAATCTGTTTAACGATTGTATTATTATTTATGCGTTGGATATCAACGACTATGTAGTGGTAGGCAAACAGATCAATGGCCCGACAGAGTGTGTGATCCGACTACTGGAGGGACTGGGCTTTAAAGTAGTGGTCATTCCGTTCTATGAATTGAATAAATGTATAAATTGTGAAACAGAACTTCAAACCAAAATAATGAACGAGATCTATAAATTGGACCCTCATTTCAAATAATACCCATGATTTTTAAATTTCAATCACATTGTGTTCACAATCCTATGGTTTAATGTGAATAAGTTATGCCAACAAAATGCACACAATTATACTCAATGACAGTAAACACTACACACCGACTGCTCTCAAGAATCTCATCGATAATTGTATTCAAATAATTGTTGATTTCATTAACAAATGTTTGTAAAAATACTTTCATTTCATGTTTTTTGTAAACCATTATTTCAGTGAAATTATATGAATTGATTGTTTTGCATGTAATTACAATCTTATCAATCAATTAAGTTAATAAATATGACAGTACATCTATTTTATACCTAATAAACATGATTAATACCTGCATATGATATAAATAATGTGTTTTATTTGAAAAGTGGTTCTTAAATATAAAGCTATTTTATATAATCATTTAAAATGTAATACAAATATAATGTAAATAAAATGTGAACAAAAATATATAATTAATTTCGTTATAACATTATAATTATCGTAACAATTAAATTAAATATATTGTATTTGGGAAATAATGCGATTAAAAGTGCATGATTAATCAAAAATGTTGTCGACTATAACACAGATATTAATACTAGTTTCTAATCACCGGGTATTCATAGGAACGACTGGTTTTGCGGGAATACTAATAGAAATCTATTGCAATCTAAGTATATATCATGAATAATGACCAGAATTTGTTAATTCGATTGGATATACATAAATATTTAACACATAATTATGATCCTAACCCATAACCAAACTACCCATCCCTGGGTTAACGCGTTTAACAAAATCCTCGATGTAATTGTAAATATAATTATAGCTATTAATAACTAAATAGTTTATATAAATAATTGGTGTGAAAAATATGTTATATTAATTAATTGCATAATATTTGCCAAAAATGTGCGACAATTTCTTAATTAGAATAATAATAATAATCTCATCGAAGAGTTATTTTGTGGACAAAATGTGTAATTATAATAAATAATAACATTTCCTTTCACTTAAGGCTTATCCCCGGGAAAGAGGTCTGGAAATACTGATCACTGGATTAAGAATCACATAATTAGGGGACGGAATGGCAAACCCTATGGACTGTTAAAAACAATTGCCTGCATTTACAATACAATCGACTCCCGATATTAGTCCTTATAGTGAATCAAATAGCGTAAACAAATTTGCTCGCTATTGAACACTATATACTCGTTATAATTAACATCGTTGTACTCTTTGTCGGCAAACTCTTGGGGTATGGGCTCTCCGAGGGGTACGGCTCGGCCTATGGGTGCAAAAAACGTGATAAAATTAATACAAAACACAAATATTAATAGATATCTCATAATTAGTGGCCATACCTTTCCAATAAACAGTGGACTGTGGGTCCGGTATATACCGGGCGTGCGATGTCTTTAAGCTATGTTTATCATTAGCCAACGTTAATGGCTTGTCGTCGGCTAAGTCACTGATGCGGACCTCCTGTACCTCTCCTAACGATACTTCGCATAACAGCATAAACTTATCGCTTGTGCCGTAACAGTAGGCCTGGCTTTTGGTGAACATATCGGCCAAATATACACCCTTTGGTAAAATACAAAAATATAATGATCACGATTAAAATTTTTAAAGTAATTAATTATAAATGAATTATAAATATAATAAATAGTAATGCAATTGTAATCAGAAAATGTGTGTAAAATCAATGGTTAATTCATTCCCATATCCGCAACAATGGGTTTCATCACTCGTTTTGCATTACTATTCAATACACTGTTTGTATCACATCCCAGACCACCAGCCCCTGGAGGGATACAGACTTATTAAATACAGCTCCTAAAGTTATATAACACCCTATTTACCACTCAATACAGTGAAGACAATCAATGGGTTAACAAATTGTTGAAAATAAAATCAATAACAAAAAAAATTCACAAACTTTGCCAAAAAGATGTCCCGATATCTGTGAGCCCAACGGCCCCTTCTGTAGCCCTTTGGCCAGAATGCTCAGCACATTCCCGGCTCGGGTCCCGTGCCATAGCAGCCACCGATTACTGTCGGCCAACCTATCGGTGCCGGTCAGCCGCTTGTCCTCACCCGACCTATTGATCCGATAGATGCCTTTCACAGCTCTTTTGCCCGTACTTTGTGTCGTGTTGTGGACGTACTGTAGGATCAGTTGACACTCGTCGTCGTCCGCCTGCGCCTCCAGGAGCTGCAGATGACAGCCGAGGGCTTTGTACACGTAGTCACAGGGGTGGACGTCCGGGAGCCGGCACTGGGCGGCCAACAGTAGTTCCGACGCGAACTCAAAGTGTATCAAATTGTGGACCAACTCTTGTTTGTCGCGTAACTCCTGGCGAGTGAACAGTGGTTTGAGTTTCTCGTACTGATAGCCAAACACTGGGATCAAGTGATAGAACTTTCCGACGCGAACTCAAAGTGTATCAAATTGTGGACCAACTCTTGTTTGTCGCGTAACTCCTGGCGAGTGAACAGTGGTTTGAGTTTCTCGTACTGATAGCCAAACACTGGGATCAAGTGATAGAACTGTTCCGATAGGTCCACGAGTTCGCCGGTCACCCGAAGGTAGTCATCCGAGTGCTGTTGATCTTTAATGCCGTCCCTCTGGACGACCAGCGCCTCCATCCGTGTCAACACATCTTCCGCTTTGGTCAGCGACTCGTCGGACAGGAGTCCGCCGAACGGCTTGTGGTGAGCGCTCTCGCGGCCGGTGGCCAGCGATCGGTACGAATCGCCGCCGGTATGCACGCGGATCAGTGTCTTCATCAGCTTCTGGAGCGGTGCCGGCAGTTTGGCCTCAACCGACTCCTCCTGACCATCGCCTCTCTTGTCGACGATAGCCTTAGACAAGGAGTCAAACTTGTACTCCCGGGCCCGCCGTCGACGGCGCTTCTGGAGCTCAACCAACCGGTACTTCTTGGGCTGCGCTGCGAACCCCGTCTGCCAATGGTTACCGGTTTTGGCCCGAAATATCTTCCGGAACTCGTCGGCCGCCTCATCGACAGTGGCGAAGGGGGTCTTCTGGTACTGTCCGGTGTCGCCGACACGACCCCATCGGGTGAAGAGTATGACCAGACCCTTCACCCGGTGCTCAACGATTTGCATTATGTAGAAGTTGTAGAGACCGTACACTCCGTACTCGAGGTCTACTTTCGTGAGCAACACGTCGTACGGTATGTCCAGTGAGGTGTCCATCACTAGTTCCCTGTGTTTTCAATGATATGATTATTAACCAATGGTTTAGTGAGTGAGTGAGAGAGCGAAAGAGAGAGAGAGAGACCGTAAGCTTGTATATATGGGGGTGTATTGCAGGGAAGTATGACTACATATCGTTGTTTCACTAATAGGGNCAAAATCACAACAGGACTTTAATGTGTCATTGCTTTTACTACATAGAGAGAGAGAGAGAGAGAGAGAGAGAGAGAGAGAGAGAGAGAGAGAGAGAGAGAGAGAGAGCACATACGTTGCGTCGATGCCGATGAGAGAATTGGGCACAAAGTCGAGCTCCTTATCGCTGTCTGTATCGATCACTTCCGCGTCCAACTGTTCGCACATTTTCTTCGCGTCCGACTTATAATCAATCTTAATGTTGAGGAATGCGTTTAACATGCTGTAGGTTCAATAATAAAACACAAGATTAACTTTTAAATTGACTTAGTATTTTGCTGACTTAACATTGCCATAGATTTGACTACTTGACGGATTTTAATGATTTTTTTTGTATTTTAAACATCGGTTTTCACTTTACAAATTTTGCATTGAGACAATTACTGTCACTCTTCTACTTTGACCTGTAGTATAGTAGTTTGCAAATGTCACAATATTTAGTATACCCCGTGGCCAAAATATTTTGATCGGCTATTGGGAACAACAGGCTAGGATGGAACTATTATATGCTTTTTACAGAATTTTATTATCTATTATAGAATTCGAGTAATAACGATTTCAATTTCAACAAGATATACTGACCGCCCCTTTACATAAAACCAATTGATTATATTATACTCACACTCAATGACAATGGTATTACTTTAAGGATGACTGTAAGAACAGCTCACATACTGCACTCAATGATGCCTTGAATATTATGAAAATATTATTAATTCACGATATTTCCCGCTGGAAGTAACTTCCAGGCCAATTGCGATTCATATTACAACTAATTTTTGTATTACTAATGAGTATTGGCTGATGAATAATTTTACAGATCTTGATTGATTAAAAGTCAAATTTACCAAGGTGAGTCAAAAATTACAGTCGACTCTAAAACTAGTGAAGACTGTTTAATTTCAAACAAATAAAAACAACTTTTATAAAAATGAATTTAATTAAAAAATTATTAGAACATCGATTTTCCAAGAATTAAACATTCAAATTTGTTAGAAAATTAGAAATAAAACTGTGATAACCGGGAAACTTTGTAAATTATGTTGTTATTGAACTGTAACACAACAATTAATATGTAACCGTAAATGTGTATGCCCATTGGTGTGATAGCGGGAAATTGGGAATTATTGCTATAAAATGAAAGTACATTCAATAAGTAGTCGATTGTGTCCAAACTTCATATGTCCAAACTCCCTCGGGTCTGGCCGTAGTGATCACTTTAATCGGCGAAATTTTGAAAATTAAATCTTTTAATTCATGAATAACCATGTCATATTATATATAGATAGAAAGGTATGGATGAGAGAAATATAATTCTGAAAGAATTTTCAAATTCTGATTTAATTAGAAAAAATTATTTAAAAAATAAGAGATGTCGTGATAATGGTATACGTTTTTTTTATTACGAGTAACATAATTGCTTCACTGCACTCATTAATTTTAATTGCAATCACAAAAATAATTAAATTACTAAAATAAAAAATTGAAATTTTTAATGCAAAATTTGAGATAATAATATATTTGCAAGTACATTTAAAATTTGAGGTTGACTTTACAGTCCGCGATCGATGTTATGAACTAAACCTCAAACCCAATCTTCATTAACTTAATGTTAAACTATGATCGATGCTGTGAGCTAATCGATGCTATGAAGCAAATTCCCGNGACTTTACAGTCCGCGATCGATGTTATGAACTAAACCTCAAACCCAATCTTCATTAACTTAATGTTAAACTATGATCGATGCTGTGAGCTAATCGATGCTATGAAGCAAATTCCCGAACCCAATCTGTTCATAGCATCGATCGATTACTGTATCATTTTTTAACACATCCCTCAATTTGATGGAGGGGGAGTTAGGTCGACGAGTGTTAAAGTATGATGAACACCGATGATCGCATTTGTGATAGATCTAATCGCCATAGTTGTAATAGTTATTATCTCAAAGATATCCCACAATATCCATAATTAAAAATTATTTGTATTAATTTTGAATAAAACTTGAATTTTTGTCTATATTTTTGGCTATTTTGGCCATTCAGTTGTATTAGGCACAAACTCCATAGAGGCATAGGCTCTCATACAACATTTCTCTATTATTTGGGCGCCTTTTTAAAGTTTGTTTAAAAAATGATTTACAAATTAATTAAAATTAAATAAATTGATTATAATTAACAACTTCTTTTGATGTTTAACTGTATTGAGATAAACGTATTTAGTTAGTAACAAGTATTTATATACATCGACTGGTCATTGTTTGACCGCATTATATTCTATATTCCCAATTTTCAGGAAGATAAAATATCTTTCCTTCCAAAACTATTTTCCGGTAATATAAATGACCTGGGCGGGAAATGTCTAACATTACTAACAGTAACTCCCGAGTCTACTTGGTCACAGTATTTGACAAACTCAGTTTTAATATAAATGATTTATTATTTATTTAACAAAACAAAAACAGGTTTAATTAGAAATATTTTATTATTCATTTTCGATATATGGATAACAAATATAAAAGTAACAAGCACGGAAGTACATGTGACACTAATATATGAATTATGTTTATCAATAATATTTTAATTATCTTATCATAACGTGTTACACCAATATTACATATTGGTTTGTAATTTTAAAACACATTTCTAATTTGTTATTGTACAAACATAAAAATAATTATTTAATCATCAATATTTTGCAAGTACGATGGCGCCCCCTAATGCTAACGCTGGCCCCGCTGGCCTGGTCACCATTTAAAATGGGAACGATAGACCATGGTTAGGGGTCTTTGAAAATGTTGTCCATATGTCGAAAATGAATAATAAAATATTTCTAATTAAACCTGTTTTTGTTTTGTTAAATAAATAANTTTGAAAATGTTGTCCATATGTCCCTAAGATATCGGGTTCGGGAGTAGTGACCACTTTTATCGGGAAAATTTACTCTAATTAAAAATTTATTTTAGTGATATATGTGTCATATTATATATCAATGGAAAGGATTTGATGAGAGGAATAGGGATCTGAAAGAATTTCATAATTCGGAAATCAGATAAAAAAGTTATTTAGAATATTAAAAATGTATTACATTTTTTTGTACTTTATTTATGCTAAAAAGTTATTTGTTGATGTGTCTTTAGTTATTTGTTTTTTTGTTCTATCTAAGGACCTCTTATTGCAAATAAATCAGATCATGTTAAATGGAGATCAGGCCAGCGGGGCCAGCTTAACATTAGGGGGCCGTCATCGTACTTTTATTCTAGATATTGGTGTAACTCACATAAAATAAATGACATTTTAGTTTTTTATTAAACAGTGATAGAAATAATATATGAATCATTTTATCAATAATATTCTAATTAATGTATTAAACGATGTTACATCCATATTTCATATTGGATGATAATTAATCAACAAATTTAACCATGGCAACAATTCTAATTCTATGTTTTGACATAACATTTATAAATGTTATTTAAAAAGATTATAAAATTGACGTATTTATAATTTATACATGTTTTAGACATATTTAAACTTAATTCAAAATAATAAAAATTATTATAATTCAAATTCTTTATATATTATGTAACAATTTATCAAATAATATTCAAATAATTCATTTTAAGCTAATTAATTTTAAAATCACTTTTTCAAAAATTATTAAATTATTTGTCATTGTCAGGGCAATGAAATTTTCATATTTGCATATATTTAGCGGTTCATAGTATCAATGCGAGTGTCCGGATGTCCACCGATGACGTACTGGGGGTCACTTTAGCCGAGTTTATAAATGCATATAAACGCATATTTCATGGGTTACCGCATATTTTAAATATAACTGCATTTTAAGCGCATATTTGAGCAAATTTTTAAAAAATGTATGCATTTTTTATATTTCTCCCTAAATTGTTTCAATTTTAAATTAAATTTTATTTAAAATTTAACTTAAAAAACACTATAAATGTGAATTAAGTTACATAAAGTGGTATAACAATATAT